AGGCTGTAAGGAATTATAGAATATCCTCTCTCTCTCTCTCTCTCTCTCTCTCTCTCTCTCTCTCTCTCTCTCTCTCTCTCTCTCTCTCTCTCTCTCTCTCTCTCTCTCTCTTTCTTTCTCCCTCTACATATACAATAAGGAATCCAATAAAAACTTCACGCGATGAAGCTACGGTTTCCTGTGTTTGTGTTGGTGCTCCTTTTAACACAACTGCAGCGTCTGTACACACAAGGTAGGGATCATGTCTATAAGATTCATATTTAGTTGTCTCAGTAGATTAGATGTGAATATTGCAGTATATAGAAACTGGGATAATATATTTTTTCGACAGTTCTGAAGCCTCGTCTTTAAAAAAAACACACATATAGATAACTGTATATATGTAGATTATGTTATCTGGTCCTGCAAGCTTCGTATGATTATGGAGAGAAATATTAATTTGGTCACACATAAAAATTCATCATTGTGCACAAAAAAAGAAAAAAATATATATTGTGACCACGATTATCTTCTATTCTGATATCTGATTTAAATACTTTGTTCCAGTTATAATTAGTAGGGCTTATTTAAAGATCAATCATCATTAAACACCAAAGAAAACTTATACATAAACCACTCTATTACAGTATCATGTTTTAGAGACATATATCAAATTACGTACATCATTTCAAACTTTATCAAAAGTGATTAAACTAAACATGAGAAGTTGTGTTTAGAAATAAAATGCATCTTTTGAAGGTATTCTGTAAGCTGCGTGTAGTTCATAGCACCGACACGGTAAGAAAAGAAATAGAGGAAAAGAAGCCAAGAGAGAATAAATAGGACATACGAAGAAAATGCAAACAAATCACATAAGGAGATTAAACGAAACTATCTTTAGATCGAAGTGAATGAACTCAGTGAATGAATGGGACAGTAATGAGAAAGGACAAAGCAGGATTATAACACTATTAAATGGGAAGAGAATAGTATTCAGAGTTGGTAAAACACAATAATCATTGAAATAACTGAAATCGAAGAAACAATAACGAAAATAATCCAGGTAAGATATTAACACTCTAGTAAATAGATATTTAGATAGATAGATAGATAGATAGATAGATAGATAGAGATAGAGAGATAAATAGATAGACAGATAGATAGATAGATAGAGATAGATAGATAGAAAAGATAGAGAGAGAGAGAGAGAGAGAGAGAGAAAGAAAGAAAGAAAATGAAAGCGAGAGAGAAGAAAAAAGAAGAAAGAGGTAACCCCCCCCTCCCCCCAACACACACACTCCCTCCCAACAGAAGTGACCGAGGCAACCAACACGAGCGACATCCTCATCCCGCCGCCGAAGACAGACGCCACGAGGGTCATTCTCTTCCAGCCCTTCGGACGCGCCACCACGAATGCGTACATGCAGTTCCGTGGAGAAATCCCTGACCTGACCTCGGTGACCTTCTGTTTCCGGGCCAGGTTGGAGTACTTGTCGCTCGCCCAAAGTACTTTTATCAGCTATTTCCCCGGCCCGGAGGATCAACTGACGCTCTGTAGGTGTAATGGGTGACGTGTGTTTCAAATAGGACAGATGTTTTTGCTGTTGTGGTTTTTATTCTTTCGTTATTCTGGTTGTTTACAGTTTACTTTATCATTGTTATTTATTATTCTTGTTTTCTTATTTCTTTTCGCTTCTCATTTTCTTCTTATTGTTATCATCATTACTATTATTATCTTCATTACTATCATTATCATTATCATCATTATCATTATTATTATCATCATTATTATTATTATCATAATCGTTTTTATTATTATCGATATTATAAACATCGTTATTATCGTCATCATTATTATCATTGCTATTATTAGTACCGTTATTATTATCGTTATGAATAGAATAGTTATTAGGATATCACGATGACGATAAAGATGATAACAGGAATAAATGTTATCATTGTTGTTACTAATTCTGTTTATAGTAGCCTGCTGTAGTTATCAATAATAGTATTGATTCGAAACTTTTTGCTAAGTCTGGGAATTTTGTTTATTAAGTTTGACACATTAAGTCCTCAGCTCCTCTTTCATGTAGTACTATGATATCCATAATGTGATTATTGATCTGATCAAAAGACATAATAATAATGGTGGTTATGATAATAGCAATGATAATCATAATTATTTTTCCTTTACAAAGTTTACGACTGGGAGGCCAACGAGATGGTTCTTGGCGCTTACTCGAACTCCGTGCGAGCCACGCTGCCTGACACCTCCGTCCGCCTCTACACCTGGATGTCTGTCTGCCTCGGCCTCGACTTCGCGACCAACACCTTCGCCGGCGTCATCGATAGGGTGGCTACCTTCGGGAACCTGACGGAGGCCGAGAACGGGAAGAAACGCCACGTCCCCGGCGGAGGCACGCTCGTCATCGCCCAAGAGCAGGACAAGGAAGGAGGCCTGTTCTCCATCGGCCAGATGTTCTCGGGGGACATGGCCCAGATGAGGATGTTCTCCAGGGTTCTCAGCGAGGAGGAGATGCTGAGTTACGTGAACTGCGACGAGACTCCTGAGGGCGACGTTCTCTTGGCTTCCTTCGAAAATCTAGACGAGTGGGACATTCTGGGCGATGTGGAGGTGAAACTGGTGCCGGACGAAGTCTTGTGCGAGAAGAAAAAAAGGGAATTCATTGTACTTCCAGAGCAGAGGACATTCTCCGAATCCCAAAAGATGTGTGAGAAGCTGAGTCTGCCTATGGCTCTTCCGGAGAGCGAAGAGGAGAACAATGACCTGTTCAAGCTAGCTGTCAACGTGGAGTCGCTGTGCCTGTCCTCATACAGCACCAACGTCTGGATCGGAGCTCAGGGAAACCTGGAAGTCGACGAATGGCAGAATCTGAAGGATGGGGCAAAGCTGACCTATGACAACCTTGACAAGCGTTACACTTACATCACAGAGGCAAGTCGCTGCATCTCTCAGGGTGGCTCCTTCTACCCGGGGATCTGGTACTCCACTTTCTGCTCAAGGTTCAAGCCGTGTACAGCCTGCGAGAACGCCCCGAAAAGCTCCATCAGAATCAGAGGTCTCTGCAGGGACTCCCGCCTGGACAGGGAAATACATGTCCAGGGCCTGAAGAACCAAAAGCCGATGTTCCAGGGGACGTTCTACGCTAACGTATTCTGGGACAACTCCACCTGGGTGATGACGAGCCGCCGGTACCCCGACATCAGGGCGCACATGAGAATTGCCTTCATCGATGACTATCCCGTGGGCCTGCAGCGGTGGGAGGTGGACGGCGACGTCTGCCCAGACACCGAGATGGACCTCATGATGACGGTGTGCGGCGCCGGGAGCTTCACCTGCAACGACGGCACCTGCGTCAAGATCAGCCAGCGCTGCGACCTACAGGTGAACTGCGACGACAAGAGCGACGAGCACGAGTGCGACCGCGTGTACCTCGGCCTCGACTACGCGAAGCACATCCCCCCGCCGCCGCCCAAGGGTGAGGATCATCTCAACATCACCTTCGATCTCACCATCACCGCCGTCCGTACGCTGAGCCTCCTGGAGCAGAAGCTTGCTCTGGACGTCATCATCGTCCTACAGTGGGTTGACTCCAGACTCCAGTACTTTAATCTTCAGGAGCAGCAGAGTCGGAACCTGGTGCAGGACAGGACTCAGATGTGGCAGCCTCGCTTGGTCATCACGGACGACACGGGCAGTCAGGTGGACTTCAACGAGCGCCGGGCTGCTCTGGTCGTCGTCAAGGAATCTGAACCTCTTCCTGACGACGACACCCGAGTCAAAGAAGGTGGGGTTGCGTTGAATTCGCAAGTTTACGCTTCATGGGGTACATCTAAAAATTGCTTCATGGGTATATACTTTGTGAGATGGTTGAATATTTCATCTTTGGTGAATGTAACCACAAATTTCAAGTGGTCGTTATTCGCCTGCAACACTTACACGTTACCCACTCCATACTGGCTTTCATTCTCACCATATATTCCCATTCCTCGTAAATGCTTCACTTTATTAGTCTACCTAGTTATCCCTCATTACTTCCACACGTCCCTTACCGCCTCCATCTCTCTTCTGACTCCCGTAGCCGCAATATATCTCGGGAAGGACAACCGCCTCTCCCTTCGTCAGGAGGTCACGATCTCTCACCAGTGCCAGTTCGACCTCAGACGGTTCCCCTTTGACGAGCAGCAATGCGCTTTGACGTTCCAGATGGGAGAAATGGAGTCCCTCCTGGTCAAGCTGCGAAGAGGGGAGGAGGGCGTAGTGTACAAAGGCCCAAAGCAACTGCCAGAATACAAGGTGAGGGAAACAAGCCTCGCTCAAGAGGGGAACATCCAAAGCGTGGCCTGTAAAAAGGGAACATATGGCTGGAAGAAAGGGGGAAAGATGAGTAGGTCTACTTTAAGCGTCTGGGTGGAAGGGGAGAGAAGTTAGGCGGGGAGAGAGGAGCGGAAATGAAGAGAAGAAAAAAAAAATACGATGGACATGGTAGCAAAAGGGAGAAACGTGAGATGGAGAGGAGAGAATAATAAGGGAGGCCGTCCTCAAAGGCTAGATCCTTGCTCGCTACTATCTTGCACTCAATACATGTTCATATACGTCTCCCACTAAAAGACGCTCCAGCTCATCTGCTGACGTTAGGAACATACATCCTGCATTTATTTTTCTCTGGTCACGAGAATCACGCTTATCTCCTTCAAATTTATTTCGATGTGTTAATGAACGTAATATTTCTTAGTGTTAAACCGATTAGAGTCTCGCTTTCTGCACCATAAGCTGTCACAGGATGTACGACTGAAATAATCTTCAACTCAAGAGTCAAGTGAGAGTTTTTTTACGCGAATAATGAATAAGGATGAAATAACGAATACGAGATGAGATGAAATAAGGAAATATCGAAGGAAGGGTGGTAGCGCCAGAAACAAGGGGAAACTAAACAATTTATATAAATTAGTATAAAGCTTAAGAAGAAAAAGAATCAGTGTAAACGAGGGGTCTCTTG